CAGGAGTGCTGGTCAACAGCAGCTGAGCGTGAGTGAGAGTGTGTCCACTCAGTGTCCATCTCGGTTGTATCATGAACAGTTCATCTAGCAGGATCAGGGCAGTGTTTGTCTCTTACTTGGCACTGGTAAAGTCACATCTCAAATCTTGTGTCAAATTTCAGGCCCCTTACTTCAAGAAAGACCTTGAGGTGCTGGAGCGTGATCAGAGAAGGGCAATGGAGGTGATGAAAGGTCTGGAGAGTGAGTCACATGAAACTGAGGGAGCTGGAGTTGTTTAGTCTGGAGACAAGGAAGCTCAGGGGTGATCTTACCACTCTTATAATTACCTGAAAGGAGGTTGTAGTCAGGTGGGGGGCAGCCTCTCCTCCCAGGTAACTAATGATAGGACAAGAAGAAATGGCTTCAGGCTGTGGCAGTGCAGGTAAATGTTGAACATCAGGAAGGATTTCTTCAATAAAAGAGTTGCCAAGCATTAGGATGGGCAGCCCAGGGAAGCAGTGGAGTCGCCATCCCTGGAAGTGTTCAAGAAACAACTGGACACAGCACGTACTGCTATGGTTAATTCCAAGGGTAGTGATCAGTCAAAAGCTGGACTTGATGATCATGGAGGACTTTTCCAGTCTAAATGATTCTATGAATCTGTAATTTCTTTTTTCATGTCAAAAGAAAAAGGTTCCTATTTCTTTTATTACACAGATTGAACTGACTAATAAACTCAATCTGTACTACTACTGTCATGGTTTGACGCGGAAAGAGAATTTTTTCCGGAAGGAAGAGGTCAATTTGGATATTGACCAATTGAAAGTAGACATGCCTCTGAGAACACAGAGGGTTAAAAGCAGAATTCCCAGGGGAACTCGCTCTCTTTGGTTCCGGTCAACTGCAGTGCAGCCTCTCCCCTGCCCAGCCACGAGCTGTGTGGGGGAGGGGAAGCCCCATGGCCTGATGGAAGTAAGGCCGAAGGGTGGTGGAAGGACTGGAACCGGGCTGGCCCCTGCAGATGGAAGGGTGGAAGAAATCTGGGATGTCTCCGTTCCCCCCCGCCCCACCCAGAGTTTATCTCCCGCGAGGGAGAGAGAGACAGTGGCAGTTCTGTCAGCAATTCCACCGCGAGGAAGGGGGGGGGGGGGGGGGGGGGGGAGGGGAACTGCAAGGTGGCCAGTGCGTGGGAGTTGCTGGATGTCCGGGCATCGAGCCAACCCTGGGAGTTTGGACTTTTAACCCTTCCTTGAGAAATGAAAGCTTTGTGAATTTTCCTTTCCCCTCCTCGGTTTGAAAGAGAGGAAGAGGGACACCTTGGACCCTGGGATGTTAGAAGGAGGAATTCTAGATGGGAGGGGGACAAGGAGTGGCTTTTGGCTGGACTTTTCCATGTTAGCCACAACCTGAACCAATCTTCTCCTCCAAGAGGGACTGTGTTTTGGGAGGATGCCAGTGAGTCAAGAGACCTGCTTCAGCTGGGAAAAAGACAAAAGTGAACAGAGAAAAGGTTAGGGGGTTTGTGGTGGCGCCCCCTTGCCCTGGAAAGGGAAGAGAAGAGAAAAGGATCTCTGTTCTTGAGCCCTCGGCCCCAGGGGAAAATGGGGGGGACTGTGGTCCCAAAAAATGAAAAAACTGAACTGTTGTTTTCTCCCCTCTTGGCAGGGCATCCTTGAAAGGAAAAATCCTAAAAGCAGTCTGTCCATCCATGCATTTGGTGGTGAGAGCACTGTGCATGGAAAGGAGAAGGGTCACCATGGCAAACTTTTCTCCGGGCGGTGCCATGTGTGACATGGAAACACAGGATGTGGAGCTGTGTTTCTTGGGGGGTCTGTGGCACAGGAGAGACTCTGTTCCCTCGATAGACTGAGTATCGATTGTCTGGAGGGTGGAAACCTGATTGGCGTCCAGATTGTGTCTCACTGTGGTTTGTTGGAGTTGGGTGGTGGGGGGAGGAATGTTTTGCAAGGTTTTCATTTGGATCTTTGTGTGGTTTTTTTTCCCTTCTTTAGTTTTCTCTTTTCTTTTGTAGTAGTAGCTTAATAAAGTTTTTTTCTGTTATTAAGCTTGGGCCTGCTTTGCTCTGTTCTAGATTCCACTTCACAGCATTCAAGGGAGGGATCACATTTTCATGGGGGCACTGGCATTGTGCCAGTGTCAAACCATGACAACTACTTCATTTGATTGTGGAAGATCATGAAATCTAATTTACTGTGATATATTTGTAGAAATTAAAATGAAAGAAGCTACCAACTTTGAACCGTTATAGTTCCTTGAAAACCTTATATGAGGGTTGGTAACATGAGTGTTAAAAACAGTTATTCCACAGATTAGGAGTTCCTTGCCTCAATCTTTTCTCCGCGTCGTCTTTTACATTTTCTTGCTTCCTTGCATACTCTTCTCCCAAAACTCTGGTTTTTTCTTGTCTTTAAATTTTCTTGAGTCCCACTGAGTACAAGAAAATACAAAAATTTTTTTTTTCCTTTTAAGCTTTCCCTTTTCTATATTTCCTTTAGAGGAGGAACAGCTTAAGCTCTTAGTTTTGTGAAAGATCATGCAAAGGTACTTTTCATTAAAATAAGTTATCCTGTTTTACTGAAAGTTTTGTTCCCATGAAATCACACTGCTTCTGTGGCTTAAAAATATTCAGGAATGAGCAGTAACAAACTGCAAATGACGAAAATAATATTAAGCCTTTTTTTCATATTTAATTCAATCTAGCTGAATAAAATATGTGCAAGTTTTAATATCTTCGTTTTCTTCTAGTGGAATAACTGGGATTTTCTTGAAACAAGGTTCCAAACTGCAGGTATGTATAAATCAAGTAACGTCTGGTATTTTAAACCTGGTTCTTTACTTTCTCTTAGTTTTTGCCCTTGTCTCTCATTAGACAAATTTTTCCTGACTCATACATTCTCTTCTCATGGCAGGTTTTTATAGGGAATCTCTGTAGTGATTCACATTTGCTAAAAAGCTCCAGAGTGGTGAGCAGGGAACAGACTCCCCTTATTCAACACAGAACATGCTCAAAGTGTGAGACACAAGCCCAAATGCAAGCTTTTAAAACCATGCCAGTGATGATACCAACTCCTTCTGTGCCTAATTTAGTGTCACTCCACCATGGTTCCTTAAGTGACAGCCTTCTCACTATCTATCACCACAGCCAAATCCAGAACTAGGGGTAGAAGACATAACTGTTCTTTGTGCAGTGCCTGTAGCCATGGTTAAGAATAATCCACATCACCTTTTGAAGTATCTCACATAAAATAACCAAGGCAAAATGACAGAATATCCCAGGCCATGTGTCCAAGAATTTGCTAATACTACCATTCCAATACTTCTGCTATAGGACTTTTATTCTGTATTATATGCATTTCCATTAACTTTTCACACTTTTTCCCTTCTCTTCTCTTTGAATGATAGAAAGAGAAAGAAAGAGAATTTATATGGCCTGAGTGCCCTGAAGTAATTAATCTGAAAAAAATACAAATACCTGCCTCCTCTTTTGAATAAAAAACAAACAAAAAAATCAAACATAAGAAAATTGAATGTGTTTGCAGTACACTATCTTAACTCCCCTACTTTTTATTTTTAATTTCAGAATTTTTTCTCTCAAAAAAAAAAAAATCACTGTTAGCCAGGAAAACAAATTCTTCACTGCTGTCATTGAAGAATGCTGCATAATTTCATTCAAAAATCCACAATCTCCTTTTTTTCCCCTTACCAAAGTCTTCTGAGATGCCAGATGAACACCTTTTCCTTCAAGCTCCCTCAAGAAAGGGATAACTGAAATAAAATGCTCATTCAGCCAAAAGCAGAAATATTTCTATTTGGAAATGAAAACCTGTACTGTCTGTCTTTGTGTGTTACTTTTAGGTTTATTAAACATAAGTCTGTAAAACACTTTTAGCAGGCATAAGCTTTGGAATATAATAAATCAGGAGTATAACAGTGGTCTCACAGCATGAACATGGAAAATTATGTCATCCAGATAATATAAATAGTTTGAAAATAGCACCAGACACAAGGAAGATTGCTGTGGAATAGTAGTTATAATTTTGAAGGGCAGAGATGTGTAGTTTCTGCTAGAGGCAAGAACCTGAAAGTGATTTATCAATACCAAAGAACTGCTATGAAAAATTGTTATTTCTTCCCTCCATCAAAAAGCTAGTTGAAACAATTGTCAGTGAACTGGTAATAACTTGCCCTGCAGAGACATGTCACAGTGGGGTTTGGTCTTCATCTCTCTCCTCCAAAATATATCAGATTTTAATTGCTGATGAGAAAAATTCTATAGGCAAAATTGAAAAGGCCCTTGCTACTTGCCTTTCCTACTTTCTTAATCTTTACTACTCTTATAGGAGTATGCAGCATCTAAACTTAAACTCTTCTAATACCAAGAAATTAGCATTTCAATAGTACAAAAATGAAACTTTTTTTTCTGGTATTTTGCTGTTAAAATCACTGAAATTATTATATTCCCATCAGTTCCCCCAGCACACACACAAATGGAAAACTTATTCAAGCATCTCTTTGATTGAGCAGCTATTCACAATAATAAAGTTTCGTCAGAATGAATTGGACTATTTGCATTTATTAAATAATTTAGAATCTTCCTATTGCTAATCTAGCATAGGTAAGAGAAATCATTTGATTTAAAATAGAGCAATAATAAAGGTTTTTATAAGGAATGTGTGATATATTGTCATGGCTTAACTCCAGCCAGCAACTAAATACCATACAGCCAGTCTTTCACTCCCTCATCATTGGAACTGAGGAGACTAAATGCCAGAAAACCTATGGGTTGAGATGAAGACATTTAAGAGAAATCAGAAGTCATGCATCCAAGTAAAGCAAAACAAGGAATTAAATCACTCCTTCCCAAGAGCAGGCAGATGTTCAGCCTTCTCCAGGACAGCACAGTCCCATAAAATGTAACAGTTACTTGGGAAGACAAAAACCATAATTCCAAATGTTTTCACTTTTTCTTTCTTTCCCCCATCTTTATACAGTGAGCATGATGTCATATGGTCTGAAAAATTCCTTTGCTCCCGGCTGTGTCTCCTCCCAACTTCCCATGGAGCTCCAGCTCTCTCACGAGTGTGGAAGTACAAAAAGCTGAAAAGACCTTGGCTCTGTGTAAGCCCTTCTCAGCAACAGCAAAAACACTTCTACATTATCAACCCGGTGTTCAGCACAAATCCTGATTGGATTGCTTCAAAAATGAAAGTGATGTCTGTAATGCAATTAGAAAACAAAAGTATAATTGAAAATAGGAAAGTAAAGAAGGAAAAGTATAATTGGACACCTTTGTCTGTGTGGTCACAATAGGATAATAGATTTCCTCTGTGCATTAAAGGATGTTTATTTTAAGACAAATAATAATTGCATACTATGCTCAGTCAGAGAAGTCTTGAGTCTCTGGCTGCCACATATGCCCAGATATCCCAGATAATTTAGACCATTCTTTCAAAGGATGTTCACTTTATCTTAAGGTGATATGACATGTGGCTGGTCATTCCAGCATCAACTGATAGAATCACACATTTAAAAGTATGGATATCTCCTTTACAAACAAAAACTACATTTGGATACATTTAATTTAAGTCCATGTAGTTAGCATCTTCTGCTCTTCCGTTAAAAAACAGGTACACAGGGAAAAAAAGGGTGTTTTGCTCTAGATTGGTGTTTTTTATCACAGATGTTTGGGAAACAATTTTTAACTAATGGATTGAACACTTTAAAAAAACACATAAATGCAAGCAGCAAGGTATACCTCTGAGCAAAAGAATCTGGGAGCAGAAGAATTTGAATAAAAGAAAGAACTAAAAGCTGATAATTTGTGAAAAAGTCCTCTGCTCCAGCATCTGGTTTTTCAGCCAATATTAAGAAATATTGATAATATTGTCATTTTGCAAGTGGTTATCAGAGACCTGCCCTAATGTCCATTGATTTTTTTCCTCTATTAATTCTGACCATCTTCTATAATGTGACCTAGCTGTCCAAAACCAATTTGTTTACAATGGATAAACAGCAAAACATATGTAAAATCCTTTTAAAAGCAAAAAAATAATTCTTCAAAAATTACAAAGCCTAAAAGACCCAGGAAAGGTAACAAACAAAAATTTAGATAATGCAGTTAATATTTCTGTGAACATCTGCAGTCCATCCTAGCATACCATAGAAATTATTTGACTCCTAAATTATATTTTTTTAAAACCACATTTGAGAGTATTTATATATACATATTAATAAAATATAAAAAGCCAGTTTATTAAAATTACTGGATGATTTATGATAAAATATTCATAAATTAATTAAGCATAATTATCATGAAAATATAGACATAATTTAGATGTTAATTAATTTTGATTCCCTTATCTTACAATAGCATATGTGGTATGTCTTGCAGCAAAAAACATTACACTAAAATGTCCTCTGGAATGCAATATATTTTAAAAAATCACAAAGATGCTCAGAAATGCTTTCTAAATACATCTGTCATAATAAGGGCTCCAAAAGCATGCAATTGTCATTATATTTGAAACAATGATATGTATTTAAAAAAAAGGACATTAACCCCTCATTCCAAGTGATCAAGGAAAACTTACCTATTACCAGATATCAGTTACCCAGCTGTACCCTGACATTACTTTTGTCTCAAATCTTTTTCAAAAACTATCTCTATTGCTCCCCTTTGTGCTGTCAGTCATGATGGAATAATGCTTACTAGAAAGTCAGGCGTCCACATTCCCCATAAAGAAATTTGAAATAAACAACATTTCTCAGACTGGAGTTTTGAAAGACATTTCAAAAGTTAATTGAAACTGAGATCTGTAAATAAAGCAAATAATTTTGAAACTTCTTAGCTTCTCAAAATTTCATTTAAAATAAACATTTAAGGGCAATAATATTTATAATCACAAGCACTTTTCTTCTGCAAAAAAGCCAACTGCTATACTTTTGTAAAGGTATCTACTGTGTCTAAACCTCCTGAAAGTATTTGAATCATATTCTGATAGTTCTTAGTTCAGATTGCCAGTTAATAGATTAAAATAATATTCCAGATTTATACATACAGGAGAGATGGGCAGCAAATAGATAATGTTTCCATTTCATTTGCTCTGAACTGGTACCTGAAGAAAGGTGCCAGGTACCTGAAGAAAGGAAGTTTTAAAATAAGTTTAATGGATAAAAATCCATTCTTTGTAGATAAATTTTACTTATGCATTTTCTTAAAGAGTCATCAGCACTTTGACTATTCCTTGATCACATCCTTAGCACAGACAAAGGTCTTATAAGAAATTCACTTTTGTTTGATGTCAATGGATCCACTAATATCCTTATGGCTCTTTATGTGCTCAAATAATTGATTTCCATAAGAACAAGAAGCATTTCTTTCATATGCATTATTAATTGAATATCCAAGCAAAATTATGCACAAGAGAAAAAACCAAAATAAAATAATCTTTCAAAGTAGCATCATCCAAGGTATTTTTATATAAGTTGTAAGGAGTGGGCTATCCACCAGGAGCAGATTACCAGCTAAATGCAGAATGTATCAGTGTCCATAAAAAGAATTAAACTTTAGGGGTGGGAAAGTCATGGATGCATGCAGTAGCACTGCAATGTATTTTATATTCATGCAGATCCAATACATTAAGTATGGTCAGAGGAAATACTTCTTTTTGACCTTGAGGTCTGAAAAATGATAATTCAACTTTTAACCATTTTGCTGCACACTATATTAGGCTACAAGCCAGACATTTCATACTAAATGAGGCTATATTTGCATAGTTGTCAGAATTGGTTCTTTTTTTAAAGATAGGGGTTGGAAGAACATGCTCCTAGGACATATTGTGTATGCAGAAAGAAAGAAATATACTTAATATTTTTAAAGTTGATTTGAGTTTACAAAATGTAAAGTACTCCAAAAATTGTCCTTTTTCAACTTTGCTTCTTTCCTGAAATATTTGAAAGCGCATTTATTTGTGCTATTCTGGCTGAACAAAAAAAAAATTTAGTGTTAAATGACACTTCTTCATTTCCTGCTGTTTCACAATTAATTTTTTCTTATCAATGAGTGTTTCCAAAAAATTGTAATTTGATAACAAGGAGAGCTCAGAAAGTCATTTTAGATAAACTACGAAAGACAGAAAATTATAAAGTGCCACAGAATGAGAAGAACATCTGAACACAAAAGTGGCCTTTCTGATATAATTTATTACAGAGCACTTAAGAAAGTTAACATGAAGGAACATAAAAATTGCTGCAATTGAACAAACTAGTGAACCGGTAAATATAGCATTTCTCTCTTACAGTAACAAGAAAAAAAGACTTTGAACTATATTTTTTCTATTTCCTTCTCCTTCTTCTTCTCCTTCCTTCTCCCTTCCCCATCACTCTCGTTCCACTGGGGAAAGTATAAAAACAACTCAAGGGGATTGAAATCTGGTTTATTTACAAAATAAAAATTCTTATAAAACTTGTTTACACAGATTATGAGTAGCAAAAATTGAAAGAACCCCCTATATTTAAAATTACCAAATTTAACTGACCAGAAATTTTTTTTTTTTTTTTCATTTTAGAAAAAAAATGTGTTATATAGTATCAGGAAAAAAACTTTTTTGCATCTCTAAAGAGTTGAGAAAAATGGAAGAACAGATTCCTTTTTAAGTGTTGCTTAAACTCAAAGCGAATACTTAAAATTACTCAGAATTTGTAAATCAATTTATATTTTTTATATATTTCTTGGTCTTGTGAAAATTTAACAATATTTACCACAATTATGAATTAATACCTAATATGTATTTGAAAAGAAGCATCATTAAAATAATAAATTGCTTGATGTATGGATTTAGATCATGGAAGATAGGAATGAATGAATTATAAAACACAAAATTGGAAATTACAAGTAAAAGTAGAAAAGTTCTGACTACTTAAGGTCACGGAAAGCCGCTTGAAGAGGTTATTTAATCTTTTATGGAAAATCATGAAAACACATTCTACCTGAATGAACTTTTTTCAAGTACTACTCTTGACTATTTTCACTGAGCTTCAGTCTTAATATTCTCAGGTCTAAAAAGAGAAGTGTGATCCACGTACACCTGCTTTCTTCATTTACAGTTATCATTCCTGTAAGTTTACAAAGTATGACACCTGGATCATTGTGAAAATATACTATCCTATCTCTTATCTTCCACTCTAATTTCTTCTTCTTCCTTTCAGGAAAGAGAATGAATCTTGAGTTTGGAGGACCAAGTTGAACAAACACTCCAGAAACGAGGTATGGTCAATCAAAAATTAAATTGAAAAATCCAGAAAATTTGAAATGTAATGACTGCAACAAATTATATTGAGATGAAATTCAGTGTAGAGAAATAGACCAAAACTTTCCAAATTATTCCCATTGAAATCCCTAAAATCAGAAAAGAAAGGTAAGCAGACAGACAGAAATGGAACTAAAGAAATTAAATTTTAAAAAAATTACACAGACTTGAATGAAGCTGGTCATGAGATTCCTACTGATTAGGCCAGGCTGGGATATTTCAAAACCAGGGCAATATCCCTTGAATTCACATTTCACTAATTCATTTTTTTCACAGTGAAAACTAAGTCTTAGTAAAGTGATTTCTAAAGAGAAAAAATAATTCTTTCTGTAATTTCCAATAAAAATAACACACAGAACACAACAGACAAAGTCCACAGTGTGGCTAAGGTTGAATGTTTACCATTATTTCAACAACAATTAATTTTAAAATCAATATATGAAACATTTGCATGAAAAACTATTTCGCGTCCTGAAGTAAATACAGTATTTTAGAAACTATGTTTTAGATAAATACATGCTATAAGCTTATGTTTTATGCAAGATGAATATATGTATTTAGCACATATTACCTGATTTTACAGCAATTTAACACTTCATATGAGTATAGGCTTGAGTTGTAAATTTGTACCCAATTTATGAAAGCTTTGTTTAACAGATAATGGGAGGAGGAGGAACATTCCATTATAGAAAATTAGTCTGGAAAATAACGCTATCCTACAGAAACTCTATCTAGCAGAACACTGAAATCCTATCATTTCCTCTTTATTTATTCATAGAAACATAAGAATTAGAAAAGCTTAACAGAAAATGCTGAAATGAAATGCATTAAATGCATTACCTTGCTTTAACCCTGAAAAAAACAACCCTGAAGGGCAACACAGGCTTTCTCATGGTTGGACATAGTTGAAGTCACTGACAACAACATGCCAAATGAAATCAGACACACTCTTTAACGTGTGATGCTGATTTGAGTAAGCCCAGTCCAGCTGACAAAGCTACAGCTCTGTTTTACTATTAGCCACAATTTTAGTATAGTGCACAGAAAAAAAATACTTAATTTATCTTTCCCTTCAGTACAGCTGCAGCAAATCCTACTGAGACTCTCTCCTAGATCTCTCATCCTCTACCAACTGGTGTACAACAGCTTCAGGGATGAGAGCAGATCACCACCATTCTAGCTATCAATATAGAAACAGATAAGGAGAGTTTCAAAATCACCTAACTCAGTATTGGGGTCAGTCCTGTTTAGTGGCTTTATTGATAACCTGGGTGAGTGGATAGAGTGTAGCCTCAGTAAGTTCATGGACAGCAAACACTAAGCTGCTGGTCTGTTAGAGCGTAGGAGGGATTTGGACAGACTGGGTCAACAGGTCAAGGCCAAAGGCATGAGGTCCAACAAGGCCTGGTGCTGGTCCTACACTTCTGTCACAACCATCCTGTGCTGGGGGAAGAGTGACTAGAAAATGGCCCTGCAGAAAGGGCTGAGCATAAGTCAGCATGTGCCCAGGACACCAAGATGTCAAATGGCATCCTGGCTTGTAAGAGAAATCGTGTGGCCAGCAGAGACTGTGGTCATCCCCCTGTACTTGTTACTGGTGAGGCTGCCTCTCAAATCCAGTGTTCAGCTCTGGGTCCCTCATCACAAGAAGGACATTTAAGTGCAAGAGTGTGTCCAGAGAAATGGCACTGAAGCTGATGAAATGTCTGGAGCCCAATTCTTATGAGGAGCAGCAGATGGAGTTGCTTACTTGCTTAGCCTGGAGAAAAAGAGATTCAAGGGGGACCTTATCACTGTCTACAACAACATAAAAGGAAGTAGGGGATCAGTTTCCCAAATAACAAATCATAGGACAAAAGGAGATGGTTTCAAGTTGCACTAGGGGAGGTTCACACTGGATATTAGGAAAACATTTCTTCACTGAATGGGTGGTCGGGCATCGGAGCTGTCTCTCCAGGGAAATGGTGGGATAACCATCCCTGGAAGTATTCAAAAGTTGTGTGGTTATGGCAGTTACGGACAGGGTTTAATGGTGAACAATGTGGTCCTGGGCTTGGTGAACTTGGAGATCTTTTTCAACCTTAACCATTTTATATCTGTATGATTATGAACAGCAGTGGAACTGCCAGAAAGAAAATGTTTTTAAAGGTGAGCCAATCATGTTGATATAGTTTGAAAAATATTTCCTATCCCATTTGGTTCAGATTGTTTTCCTATTGCTCCCTCTTTTTGATTTGAATTTACTGGACTTTCTGACACAGCAAATGCTAAGAGTGTTACAAAGAACAGAGCCACAGATGTTAAATTTGAATTTGCAAATATGAACCTTTGGACTTTTATGCCCCTTCAGTCAGAGAACAATGATGTAACATGTGATTTCTAGGTGTAGATAAAATTGTGACTGCTTAGCATCACAAAGAGGGTAAAAATGTTCAATTTTATGTTAGTGATAAACAAGTACAGGCAAAATTATTTGTGAGGAGTCTGAATTTATTCCTCCACAGTATGAAAAAATAGATGCGTACCAAGAGACTGCCTGACTTAAAATAAGACTATAGAGAGATCATTATGTTGACAATTGCACTATATTCGAGACATACTAAAGTAATTGAATTATTTTTATGAACTACAGAAGGCTTTGGATAAGACCTTAATTGTTTAATTTCTTAGGTGCATTTAACAAACAGTTGAGCATTTTTGTTAAAGAACGATCTTAGGGAATTGGGATATTGATAAACAAAAAGAGGTAGAATTTTTAGATAAATTACCTTCTATGAGCTGTTTGCCAAAATTAGCAAAATCCCTGAATCTCTGTGGTTTCCCAGAAGTAATCATCAACTGTCAACCATGTACATCAGGATTTATTTTCAGGCTTCAAAAGTAAAAACCACATTTTTAATAACACCTGCAGCCTACTACTAAATGTATTGCTGCACCTTCCAAACGGTACACTGTATGCTGCAATTCAGGTTTTAAGAGTTTCCTTTAGGATCTGTTCTGCACCATAAGCAGGACTGAAAAGTTAAAGTCAAGGAACAGATACTGAAAGACTACCCACTGAAATCCTACATAAATAGTAACTCTCACTACAACTCTGCTATCACCTGAACTGAAATTAGTACTATATGAAAGTAAGGGGAAAAAAGCTCCTCACTTAATATATGTTTCATAGTCTTCAACACATAAACTATTATTTATGATCTATTATGTATAGAGCAATTTTCAACCTTTCTGTGATTTATGGTTCTGAAGGAAATTTGTAATGTCGCTGAGTTTGGTTTTGAAAGTTTATCTTATGCAGGCTTCCATGTAGCACACATTAAATTATTCCTCTCAGTCAATTTTGCAAGTTATTTCAAAGAATGGGTATTTCCCTGGAGTCTGTGGATCACAGGCTGAAATCCACTAATCTGTAGGACAGTTGTCAATGATTACTGAGGTTTTCAAGCTCACTTCCTGTCACGTCTCATATTCAGATGGTTTCAGAGTGTGTGCTTTTACTTGTGCTAGCTGTGCACTAGTACAATTATGAGCCTGATTTTCTTTAAAGGACTAGGGAAAGAGGTCTTTTTGTTTAGACCGCCAAATATCACACAGCCATTTGCTCACTCTAACCCATTGGGGTGAGGGAGAGAATAGGCAAAAGAAGCAAAATTTCTGGATTGAGATAAAGACATTTTAATAGGACAGAAAAGGAAGAGGAAATTATAGCAATCATTTAAAAATTGAAAAAAAAAAAAAAAAAAACAAATAATGCACCATGCAGTTGCTTACTAGTTGCTGATTAATGCCCAGCTGGTTCCTGAGCAGTGGGCCACCATTGCCCACCTCCTACCCCATTTCTTTTACTCAGCATGACAATATATGGTATGGAATATCCCTTTGGTCAATTTGGTTCAGCCATCCTGGTTTCTGGTGCACTCACAGCCTCCTCACTGTCAGGCCTGCATGGGAAGGGAAAAGGTCCTTGACTTAGTGTTAATCAGCAATAGCTAAAAAATCAGTGTGTTATCAACCTTATTACCATGCAAAAGCAAAACACAGCACTCAGCCAGGTACTAGAGAGAAAATTAACTCTATTCCAGATGAAACCAGGACAATGAGATAAAGTCTAAATGAAGAGGTTTAGTTGTTTGGTGGTTCTTTGAATCTCAGTGGTTAAAGTTGCCTTCTTATATAAGGGACCTGGAAGACCATTAGAGATTGGGAGTATGGGGTGAGGAGGTGGGAAAAAGTCAAAGGAAAAAAAGCATTAAACTTTTATGTTTGGGAGAGAACTGTAGAATTTTCAAGTTTCAAACCAAAGATAAGCCTTCAAAATCCCAGCCTACATGTATTTTGCATGGAGTTATTAAAATTAACAGGAAACATTATTAAAATTATGGTACATATTATCAAGGAAAAAGATTAATCTATCATCATTTTAAATCAATAATAAAAGAGATGACTGATGTACAGAGCATCAGAGTGTATTTTGATAGCAGGTCAAAATCCATCTAACTTTTCCTCACTGAAAAATACTAAGAAATTCAAGTCATGCAAATAATTTTCATTACCGTTCACTCAAAGTTCACAGACATCCTTATTCAGCAATGCAGATAAGACTCCAATAAGTTCCAATGAGAATGGAAGAAATACATTTCTCTGTTATCTATTATAGAGGAAGAGGACTGATGGCATCAGCAAAGTTACAGGAAAATTCCAGAAAATATACCATGGATCTAATTACCTTTGAAATATTTCTATTCATTTCAACAGAAACTGGATCAGATAATTTGTAAAGAGAATGATACAGTTAAGGCATCAGTCTGTTCCTCCTTGTCGTGGTTTGACACGGAAAGAGAATTTTTTCCGGAAGGAAGAGGTCAATTTAGATATTGACCAATTGAAGGTGGACACGCCTCTGAGAACACAGAGGGGTTAAAAGCAGAATTCCCAGGGGAACTCGCTCTTTTTGGTTCCGGTCAACGTGCAGTGCAAAACCTC